AATTAAAGAATTTTGTGTAGATTTCGGATGTTGAAAGTCCTTGTTTAAAATCTTTTAAGGCAAGGGAGAAAATCTCTCGTAGAATCCAACGATGGCGGACCAAGAAGCCGAGTGTGAACAGTTTATAGGCGACGATTCTGAACTCCATTGTCGGAACAAAGTCAAGCCCTTGGTGGATATGTTGACGAGGAAAAACGTTGGCATGTATTTACAGTTTATTTTGTTTGGAATCGGCTCGGTTCTTCCTATATTTGTGATTTTCGCCGCTGTTGATTACTTCGATGACATTTTTCCTCACAAGCAACCAGAATTTGCAATGAACGCGATCTACAATCCGCTGCTGTTCTGTGGTTGTTTCGTTAACTTGGTGTGGGGTCGCGCAGCTAGTTTCAAATGGAGGATTGTCAGTGGATTTTCAGTCGTAGTCATATGCATGTTGGGCTTCATTTTTCTTGATCAGCTGGAGTTATGTGGGTCAACATGTCTTAAGAGCCATTACTGGTCCGTTCTGTTTCTAGCAGGTATTCTTGGCTTGGCAGATGCCGTGTGCCAGTCTACTTTGTTTGGTCTTACTACTCACGCTCTGCCACCAATATACACCCACGGACTAATGGTAAGTTATCTCGTGGAAAGTGAAGGGGAGTATGCTGGTCATATAGGGTCAAAATTTTGAAGTGATATCTTTATTTTATATTGAGAAGCCGTATCTATGTTCAAATTAAGTATTTGGGTCCAAATTGCAACATACGTTTATATACAATTCCCTAGATATATGAATGTGTAGAATATTAAGATATATCTCCATATGTCCAACCCTTTGTTGCGTACTTGCACATGGTCCGATGTAAACATGCAACTTTTACGATATAGATGTAAAGTTTGAGGAAACTACGTCATGTAGCTGTTCGTGACTTGACTCGCATTCAGGGCGGCTCAATGGTTCCCAACATTGATTCTTTCTTCGATTCTCTGTTGAGAGTTATCCGAGAAGTGAGAAGTCATTCATACGCAACCCTATTTCACAGAATGATGGAATGACAGAATACCTTAAACTGCACGGCATAGGAATACCTTAAGTCGTATGACAGGCACCTTTGTAGCGTTAACAAACTTGATACCTGAAATATGTTTAAAAATTTAGCTGTTCATGGTAACTCTAAAATAGGTTCATTTTACTTGCAATCAATAGTTTTTCCTTTATTGTTTGATTTCCTGCTGTGTCCAACAAAGGCAAGGAGCTGCATTACTTAAATATTTAAATTACAACTATCCAGGAAACAATTGTCACTAACCATTAAAAAAAGACAGTACACACTGACACAGACATTGTGGGGTAGTGCAAGACATACCATATATTATAACATTATAAAATACTTATTTAACTCCAAATGTTAGATTCCGTTTTTATTATGATAAAAAATTAATTAATTTTAAAAAAAATTTAAAAAAAAAGGATGTGGATATGCATCTTGATATTTTGGACATTCATGTATTTAGGCAATTGGATATACATACTGCAATTTGGATATACATATTTAATTTGGACATAGATAATACAACTTGATATACAAATATCACTTTTCAAAATTTTGAGCGGCAAGCATAAAGGTGTGCAGGGTTTGTATGTAATGATTGCTTGATTGTTCATGGAGTACTGTTTCCTTTCAATATGTTACAACACCAAACCAGAGGCAAATCAAATCAAGTAATGTTCAAATCAAGGATAAACCTGGCACAACAAGGGCCCAGTTGTTTGAGGGCTGATTAGTGCTAACCCAGGGTTAAATTTTCATCTGGGTCTCTTTATTCCTTTACTCAAAAGCCTTTTCATTTTAATTTTCAGCGTTCTTTTTAAAGCATCAAATAGTCATATTCTAGACAAAAAGAATTTGACTGAATTTTCTTTTAAAGCTTTTAGATCTGAAATTAGATTTCACACTATCCTTTGGTTATCTTAATGCTTTGAACAACCTGGCCTAGATTGACAACCTCAGTTTCACACAGTCAAGGTAGTGTCTGTTATCAGACCTATCAACCCCAGTTTGTTGTGGGGTTAAACCTTACTGGGAAATATTTACCATATGAAAAAACTGGAGTTTGTAATTTAACACTCTGATGAGCCTGTTAGACTTCATTTGAAGGGAAAGAAACACCAAAGCTATTCACCATTCATTTGAAAACATAATGACAGAATTGGGGAAAATTAGCCCAAATTAAGGTAATTTAACAATTGAATGGCTCTGATGAAGGGCTAATGCTCGAAAAATCAGCTTTTAAACTCTTCACAGTGGCCAGTTTGTGTTTGCAACTCAATTGATAACACTTACTTACCCTGTAATGTAAAACAGTTTTATTCTGCTGATAATTATGCAAGTTGGCTCACTGAGCCCTCAGATTAAAATACAATTTATTTTTGTGTGGGCTGGTCTACAATTCTTTCACATATGAACCTTTACACTGATCGTTTTTTTTTTTACATTTCACAATTTCTGTGGCACAATTGTAATGATTTATAAATGGGTAGGTATTAAATTATTAAGATATTAAAATAGGAACTGTTATGATGTGCCCTCATTATTCTAAACAAAAATTAAATATTTGTAATGAATATCACAGAGAACTTTTAAATAAATGTAAGTTTTTCTGAAATGTTGTATAATATTTTCTTCTGTTATTATCTCCACAGCTTGGTGTAGGCTTATGTGGCTTCCTTATGACATCTTTAAGAGTTTTGACAAAGACTGCTACCAAAAATCTTCATGTGTCAAGCTATTACTACTTTGGGACAGCAGCCATATTTACTTTGGTAGTGGTAGCTGTTTACTTTCATCTCATTGGAGGTGATGCATTTCAACGTTACTACTCCCAAGCTCCAAGAAGTGGTCTTGACACTGACTGGAAACATCCTTTTCAACGTTTTGCATTCTTTACAGGTGAAGCACTGAGAGTGTTGCGCTATAAACATGTCTTCTGCCACTGTTTTTTGCTTACATTAGTAACTGCCCAACAGTATGTTGTGATACCATCAGTGGCTGCCTTGGCAACAGACTTCCTTGGTAATGGTTGGTTCCCTGTGTTGTTAATTTTAGTATACAATGTTGGTGATGTTATTGGCCGAGGGCCATTGGCTTTGTATTACATGTATTCTATTTGGTGGGCATGGCTATCTACTCTTGTTCGTTTCTTTATTATTGCTGGCATCTGTCTTAGTGTACCCCCTCACAGTATGAGTACAAGGCCTGCCTGGATGGCAACTTTTGTTGCAGTACTTGGTCTATCAACTGGTCATCTGACAACATCCCTAATCTCTTACTCTTCATCTGAAGTACCAGGAAGAGCTAAGGAAACTGTTGGATACCTAAGTGTGTTAAGCATGACACTTGGAATGGCTGGTGGAAGTGCTACCAGTTATTTCATGAAAGCCCTCGTGGATAGGACTGGCTAACTTAAGTCTGCATGTATTGCCATTAGCAGGTTTGAATGTTGTACTTAAACCACTTAACTCACAGGATCAGATTGTTAATTCTCCTCATCTAGCTGCAGCACATTTCCTTGAAAATTAATTACAAGAATGTGGTGTTAGATCAAGATCATTTCTACGTGAAAAGTTTGAGTGTTCTCATTACCTGAACATGTTAATCACTTCTGGGACTTATAGGGTTAGAGAATGTTATTTGTCCTTTCAATTATGTATGAGTCACTAGCAATATCAAGTTATGAGAGAAGCAAAGGATATCAATCTTAGGGGGTATCAATGAGTCAAAAACCCATTACAGTACAGAACCCCCCCATGGGTTCTTTAGTACAAGTCCTGTGAACATGTGCATGTTTTTGGAGGAGGACAAAAACGAATTTTAGAGGGAGAAAAGAAATTTTGGCCACTGGAGGGACTACTCTAGGAGTTTAGCAGGAGAGAGTGGTTAATGTCTATGATTCTTTGCTGATTATGATGGCAGGTTGGTAGAAGGGGGAACTTAAATTCTTTTCTAAGACTATTCCTCTTTCTTAAGCTTGTAATGTAGGGTCAGAGCCCTAGTAGATATGATGAATGTTTAGAAGAAATATCTGACATAGACTGACATAGGAAAATAGAAAAACAGTGATAATAAGTTATCAGTTAAACCAGCTATATTTTGGATACAATCAACTTTAAGAGGGTGCTTTGAAATAATTTTTGCATGAGTTCCATACAACATTAAACAAGAGAGAATTACACCAAAAAAGAGAATAGTAATGGGTTAAAAGTTATCTTAAAGGCTATCTTAGTTTAAGGATTACCTAAACCGTAAGCTTTCAGCTTCTAGTCTTAGGAAATTTTGAAGGGCAAGATGAAAATTAGACATGTTCAAAATGAAAGTGTTGTTGCAAATGCCAACTGAAGCCGTTTCCACAAACTTCTCAATTTTTATTTGTCTCCGATAAGATTCAACATGAATCTCTCGTGTCGATTTAATTGGAAGTGAAATTACTCCTCGTAGTTGGTGTTCGTTTAATTACAAGTTGAGCTGCATTCGATCTTATTAAAATTTTTCTGACTTTTCTCCTTCCTGTGGAGCCATCTTCTTAAAAACTCTTCTTTGGTTGTTCAGTTCTTCAGTGATTGGTGGTCCTGATTTTCTTTCACGGGGTGGACGTCTAATTTTGAAGAACCTTGAGACCCATCCACCAATTTGTGAGACGGGCTAGAGAAAATACTTGTGAAATACTGCATCAAATTCGTCCGCCTCCTGGTTTGTGACTTGCTTGAAAATCTTGAATACCGTCTTTGCCTCAGCCAGTGATTACGCAGTCGCGGTTGTGGTTACATCTTCTGGCCAAGTCGGTGGTTCCCTTTCCACGAAAGTCCTGTCTCGTATCATCCCTGGTCGCTTCTCTGCAGCTGTTTTTCCTTAAACTCTTTTAGACAACCGCTTGATCTCCTGTAGATGGATCTGCTAACCCAAGCAATCTAGTGTACAGAGTTCTTCGTAGTCTACACTTGACGTTTAATTGAGAAGCATGTTGGTGGTGTCAATTTCTTTACCAGGCAAGGTGATAGTCCAACCTAGCTTCGTGTAAGTGGCTATCGGGTCCCATTCTCTTCCCACGCGTTGAGGTTCGGTGGTGGTGATTCGGAGCCATTCACTATTTCCCGGGATAATGTGTACATGCAAGCGGGATCTTTCGTCAGTGTCATCCATGGTCACACCCTTAAGATAGCCCTTTAGATAGCCCTACTACACTCAGGTGTAGTAGGGCTGACTTGTTCGTTGCATTGTTTTGTAATCTTAGGTAATTATGCCTGTGGAAATTATGTGCATATTGAGTAAGTAAATTTTGAAATCAATAATCCCTTTCACCTCGCGAGTGCAGAGGTGATAGTAGTCTTGTGGCCTCGTCCGCGATACGAGTGGTAGTACTTCATACAGAGTGCCTCTTCCCCCTCTGTTGAAACATTTACACGATTTTCAGTCCATGAAAAAAATGAAAGGAAAAAAAGTAGGCCAGGTGAAAGCTAAGCTAGAATCACACTCTTTGAAGACCTTGTAAGCAGTTGATCTCTTGAAGGTGACGTTCGGACTTCGTGTCGTACAGTTAAGTATAGATCGAGCTCATAATTTCAAATCAGCATCGCGCTATGCACTCGGCCAATTTGAGATCACTCCTCAGGTAGAGCACTCCACTCAGTCCTAGTACTATTACAAAGGAAGAGCTGTTCAGAACCTCTCGAATTTGAGCATTTTGATATTGACACAATTAGAGACCGAATTGGACTCCACTCCATGCTACTCGGTCCTTTATCCATTGTTTTCAGTTTTATAGCTATATTTTGCCCTCTCCTGTATTTCGCTTTAAAAGGGGTCGTAAATTTGTTTCGCTTTCTTGTGGATCTTACCAGCCCACCCACTGGCATAAAAAATTCATAGTCAAATAGTTTCTTGTATTACTTTGCATGTCCTGGTGCACATTGTAAGGAACACTTTGCAATTGGAAACTGCTTGTACCTCTGGATGATGTGGTTTTAATTATCAGCTGAGTTGATAATATAAATTGGCAACCGTAAAGAGTTTCCAAGGTTGACATTTCAAGGGTCAGCCCTTTGTTAGAGCGAAGGCTCGTACCTCTGCTCTTTCAACCCTTAAATTCTTGATAGTGATTAACGTCTGATTTCTCGTTACAGTTTCACCCTGATCTGATCCATTTTTGAATGAAACTGATAACTAACGTAGGATCAAGAGAGGATAGAGCTGTCTTGCTTACGAAGCTCTTTTTTGTTAAACAAGTTGTCTCTGTCAGTTCCATATAACTCCTAGAAAAGTATTTCCTTGCAGCTAAGAATAGGACCAAGTGTTCTCTCCTGTTTTGTTATATTTTCGGTTTTCACCTACATGACTTGGTCCTTTTCAACTGTTTCTTTTCACAATGTTGGTGTCCCTCGAAGTGTCATCATAGGCTGAATCTCGAGAGGAGGCTTGCCATAGTTTTGTGTATCACAGTTGGTTGTTCGACGAAAAATGAAAGCACAAAGATGTTAAGTTCTTTCGTTATTAGAGGCTATGACGAAGTCAAACCGGTCACAGGCTGGTCAAAGGTAGATTGTGATTATTTTTTCTGCAGACAATCCCGAGCGGGCCTCAGGCGGGCAACATGGAGCCCATCCTCCAGCTCCCATAGCCAATCAGATCTTTACAATGGGCTAACCACAATTTGAAGTTCCCGTATAAGACAAGTCACGTCAGCAAGTATCTCATCATCGCAGCAACATGGCGGACAACCATGAAGCGGTTGTGGACGGGATCCGTGAAACTGACTTGAACGAAGATATGATTTCTGGGGCTATTGGTACCAGTGCAACCACACGAATTGATTTTGAAGAAGATGATCCACGACATTTTCCAGGCATGGACGAAATGTTAAAAGTAGCTACCGATTTACAAGACACATCAGAACGTACGGTTCAACTGACGGTCGACGATAATAGTGAGTCACCCAGATTAGAAATGGAAAGTTCCGGTAAGAAAATAACCACGATTTACTGAACAAAATAAATTTTGATGGAAAAACGCAACGACTTTTCAATTTTGTCAGAGTTTTTTTATTTCCAAGCGTATGATAATATCCTCAATTGAATGTACCCAATGTGAAAGATGAAGTCTACTAAGTTTTCTAGCTCTGTAAGCTTATGTTAGCTTAAGTGTGTTGAAGGCCCATCGAACCGTGACATTTAACATCTTATACGCAAACCAGCGGATAAAAAGGTCAGAATATCAAAACGAGACACTTTGCCTTCATAATACCGGGTTGGCAGACTAAATAAGTCAAGGAAATTCAAATTGCCTCGAGTCTCTGAAAACCTCTGACTAGAAGAAGCATCGAGAGGAGAGAACTAAAGAACTGATTTTGCCAAGTCGCTTACTATAGTAAAAGTGACATTTTTCCATTGCCTATTGGTGAAAAATTTAGCAGAGTAGTAGTCAGTAGTTTGGATCTTAAATCAGCAATCCTCAGGAATTTGTTGTTTGACGTCGCCTCTTCTTGACGCACCTTTGTGTTCAATTTTGTATGCAGCAATAGATAAATCATTGCTGTACATGGTACTTTTAGTTGTAAAACTGTTATATTGTAATAATGAGTTTGGACATCTATATGTAAGATAGGTTTATCACAAATTGCTTATCTTTCTTGAATTCAATAGGGCCTTCTTCATTGCCCCCATGGCAGACACCAGCAGAAACTTATCAAAATGGTCATCCTTCATCTCAAGCTGTCATTCGACCAGGCACTGCTCAGAAAATAGATCACTTAAAGAAATGGAGTATTTCAACATACAAGTATACTAGGCAGTATCTTTCTGAGAGATTTGGTAAAGGCACAAAGACTGTAGATACCGAACTTGAAGGACAGATTCTTTTGTTAAAGGAAACCCAAGTTAAGTATGTCAATGTTCTAAAACTAGCAAAACAGATGACAAACCATTTCCAAAATATGGTGCAAAGTCAAAGAAGTCTTGCTGATGCCTTTGCAGATTTAGGGATGAAGTCACCTGAGCTCCAAGATGAATTCAACTATAATGCTGAATCTCAGAGATCACTTGTCAAAAATGGGGAAGTTCTTCTTGGAGCACTAAATTTTTTTACATCAAATTTGACAACTCTGGTGCATAAGACCATGGAAGACTCCATCATGACAGTGAAAGCTTATGAATCTGCTAGAATAGAATATGATGCTTACAGGACAGACCTAGAATCCACCCAAGCTGGACCAAGAACAGCAGGGACAGCTCTGAAAGCTGAAGAGGCAAAGCAACAGTTTGATGTTCAAAAAGAGAAATTTGACAGGCTACGTGGGGATTTAGCAATCAAACTAAGATTTCTGGAGGAAAACAAGGTACTGAAAATACATCTAATACATCAGCTATTATGTACAATGTTAAGGCAATTGCTTTAGCTACATGCAAGATTTCAATTATAATTTAGGAAATGTTCGGGGTTCATCCTTGTAAATGGGCCAAGTGCCAGTAAACTTTTGGTCTTCCTTCACTTACTCAGCTTATTGACTACTGAACTTATTAAGCAAATTCCTCTTGAACTGCAAAAGGAATAGGAGTGTTGTGAAAATTGTGATACAGTGTTAAATATGAGGAGAAAAATTTGACACTGTATTTTAACATGTGAAGGTGAGCAGCTTTACTACAAAGTCACATGGGGCTGGAAAAAAAGCTGAATCTGAATGTTCACATCATGTACTTCACCTGTATTGAATACACCTAATAGAGCCTAATAGAGAAGAGAGAGAATTTGTTTTAAAAAGAGTTCAACTCCCGCAGACTTTCCATTGTGTAGGAATACCAATATGGATGCCATGATGTCATGTGAAAACACTATTGTTTGGGTTTCTTTAATTAAACTTCATTTGCACCCTCTGGCATAATTTCTCTTTCTGTAAATTCCTGGGGCTCAAAATGCAGTAAATAGATATGTCAGAGGGGAGCTTAGTAATCCAGTATCTAGTTTTTTTTTTACAACAGTCCCAGACTATTGGCTAGTTGAACCAGTTGAGCAGTACAACTATACTACTTAAGCTAATAAGTTGAAGAATCAGAACTAACAACTCGCTTTTTCACTAAACTCAGAATCATTTATTGATAGTTGTATGTACATGTAATATCAACTTATTGACTGATTATGTGTAGATGAATTTCGCTCCCAATATTATAATGAGCCTAGTAAATTCTGGAGGCAACTTTGAGGAGTGAAGATGAAAGGTTGTTTGATTTTGGATGTTGTCTGCTACAAATACAAATGTTTGCCAATATCTTGTTGGCAATGTGATTGTAGCAATGGTGTAATCAATACTGAAAGGGTTCTTAAGGTGTAATTTTGATTATCAAAGAGTTGATTTAAGTAGTAATAATTCGTATTGTATTTACTTTTATAAATAGGATTTATATTCACCACTGATTTACTTGCTTTTCCTGCATCCACAGGTGAAGGTGATGCATAAGCAATTGTTGCTTTTTCAAAATGCAATTAGTGCTTATTTTGCTGGAAACAAGCAAGCATTGGATAATTGTATAAAGGAATTCCACATTAAAATAAAAAACAATGAGGGCAAACAGCCATCTTTCTTGGAACACTGATGTTGTTGTGGAAACATTTGTCATCTGGGACTGTTAATCAAAGACTCAGTAAGCTGCAGGCATACTTGAAACTGAAAGGATGTTTGGAATTTTTGTTTGGCTAAATTTTGTTGATGTAGAAAGAAACAAAACTACAATATAAAATGGAAAGAAGAATTTTGATTACTATGTCGTATGAAATGGAAAGAAGAATTTTGATTACTATGTAGTATGAAAATTTTTTGATTTAAATTTACAGTACTTCCTTGGATTGTCCTCAGTACACAAAAATACATCAAATTCCAGCAGGAAAAAATTGCATCAATTTGCTCTTCTCAGTTAAACAAGAAAGTTCTCAAGAAAATAATTTGTCACTTCAGATTCATAATATTGAGGGTCATATGGATTCAAAATATCAACGAATGAATAATCTTCTGTATAGTTGTCTTGTCAGCTAGGCTTTGCAATCTCCTGCATGTCAATCAGAATGCTGTAAGAATGAGCTCCCAGAAGACATTTCAGCTCTCTGGAATGGCAAATGTTTGTAAGAAAAATGCAACGAATTGCAAATCCTTCAAAATATGACTCTTGAGAAATTTTATGCTACTTGGTAAATATTGTTTTATCCTTTCTTCATGACAGTCAAATGGTAAGTCAAGCTGATTAATCGAGATTGTAATTCCAAAGATAAAGCAAAGTGTTATTAGTGGTAGGGTAGATTAAAATTTAACTTGTGGTATTGTGTTAGATGGAACCAAATAAAAGTATGACTTGAAAGCCATCTAGAACTGGTGTGACCAGAGTATCATTTGAACTAGCTACTGACTCTCAGACCACAATTGTTTCTTTAGCCTAAGCAGGAGACAAGGATATTTGTCCATGAAAAGTAAATTCACTTTCAGGCTGACCAATAAGCACTCAGACTTAGTAATAAGTGACTAACAACAATTGTGACATTCATTTTAAAGTTAATACATAATTAGGATAAGCAAGTCTCCTAGAGATGGCAATTTCCACTCTTAAACAGTATGTTACTACTTTTATATCTGATATTCTTTTCTTTAGTGATAGGAAGGGTGTATTCAACTCTACACAATGCATAAGATATTTAACAACTATTCACTTAATTTTATAGCAGCATGGTAAAAATCCATCACTAGCCACCGACACTGAGGTGAAGAGTTGTTTTTGTAGATACCAAAACAGTGGGATAATATTGCAGAATGTTTCTGTAATTATTACAACATATTTAGGTGCAAATCCTGGGCATGTTGCTTGGAGGTGAATAACAGAAGATATTTGAAGTTTGAGTAGAACCTGAGCAAGCCTGCAATTTTATTCACTGTTTTAGTATATACTAAATTAGTGTACTTGCTCAGGTGATTACAAAGATGTGCACACTCAGTTGGTCAAGGATCACATGTCTTTTTATGATAACCCTGGTGCAAGGTGATATTAATTTTGAAGCACTAATCTTAAATTGGAACTTTTGAGAGTAGTTGTTTTTAATGAAGAAAAATGTAAAATGAAAGAAAAAGCAGGTACTCTGATACTCGTCATTACTTCTACCAAAATAAGTATTATTCTCAAGCTGACTGAATACTGTCTAACAGTTGTTAGATATTATTAAAAGAAGCATACAGGGGACAGCTGCAAACAAATTTATATTGGTGCAAAAAAATATATGTGGATGTAAACAAATATATATTGATGCAAAAATAATAAAACATTGCGTAAAATTAATAAATGTTGCTGCAAATTAATAAAAGCTCCAACAAATAAGAACAAACATTACGGCAAATTAATAAATGCTGCAAAAAAATATATATATTATTGCTTCAAACAAGTAAAAGTTGCTGCAAACAAAAACTGAAAACCCCTGCGTGCGCAGCAATCGGAAGGGACTGGCACGAGTTGTTTAATATAATAGAGGGAATGGCGAGGGAGTTACTACATCACGGGCGACGAGCGGGGATAGAAAAAACGACCCAAACAT